TACTACTACTACGACGACGACTAGTGGTTTACGAGTGCAGCCGTTTGTGCAGTGACTGTCGGCATCGTTCGGAAGCTATCACCGATGAGACCAACAGCAAAGGTCACGGAGGCGATGGAAGAGTAAAGGCAATGATGTTAATAATCTCCCTTGCCTTCCTTTGAGGTCTGCCCTATTAGGACCGAAGCTGGCACTCTGAACTGCAGATCTCCCCCTCTGTAAGGACAAGTGGGTAAAGCTTGCGGGTATACATGTGCGCATGTCACCGTCAGGCGGTCTATGTATGTATGTATGTACGTACGTACGTACCTATAGGTATGTACGTATGTATGTATGTATGTATGTACGGCGAGAGAGAAAGCGAGTGAGAGACTGAGAGCGAGAGTGACTCGAGATACCTGGCATTTAGGAACCGAAGAAGTACATAGTTACATATGAGCTACTGGAACCTTACTCTTGCAGGCACATTATCATATTATTGCCTTAAAAGCATTTATGTCTTGATGGTTCTTTGGCTTCCCGTACACCTGAAAACCTGAAAAGCCACCTAAACTAAAGCTGCACCTGAATACCAAGCCCAAAGCCCAAAACTCTAAATCGTAATGCTACCCTGTAGCCTTTAACGAGGTGCGAGACCTGCTCCCAACCTGCCAGCCCTGCCGCTCGCCCAACAAAGAACAAGACCTCGGTTAATACCATCATACAGAAAAAATCGGCTCATAAGACCGACATTAAGGTGTCCATACTGATAACATGAATATGTACATAAGGTCTGCGCCTCCTGCGAAGGCTAAAAGGGACTGACTATTGAAGTAGACCTTTCGAAGGGTTTCGGGTTGAGAGTCAAGTATTCTGGAGGCTGCCGGCTGCTGGACCTCGTTCAGGCTCTGTAAATAAGCAGGTCAGGATGGCTGCCGAGAGGGTGTGAGGGTTAAGACAATGGAGCTTCGTGTGTTCACGGCCCGGTGCTTACCTAAATCCAAAGACCCTCAAGCCAGGCTAAGCTTCATAAGGTCGAACCTGAAAAACCCTGTCAACCACAGATTTTAAATCCGAGACCGTCACTCGCAAAGCCTGAGGCCTTCGGGTTTGAAGTATTTGGAGTAGTTCGGATGTCAGAGATTTCGTGGGGCCCCGTCTCTGCATGTCCGCTGAAGCCAGGTGTTGGAATAGTAATACTTTCAATGCTAGCAACTATTGCCCTGAGCAGCAGTACGAGTATGACGATGCGTGGGGGCATAACAGTATCATGTCACTACTGCGATTTTCAGTCGTGCCATACCCATCATGATTGTTGTTGTTGTTGTTGTTGTTGTTGTTGTGGTGGTGGTGGTGGTGGTGGTGGTGGTGGTGGTGGCGGTGGTGTCGAGATGCATAAAGTTGTCATCAGTCACGCGACCACCTTGCCGCAAGCACATGTCCGGAATGTCCAAGCGTCTTTGTCTATCCGACGAAGACCCTGCTGTGCAGAGCTCTAAATCCAAGCCCTAAGTCCAGAGCCTTTCAACCCAAGCCTTCAAGCGCTTACTCTTCCTACTTACCAGGTCCTACTTTTGATTATCCGCTTGGGCTTGCGCTGAAGTTTTCAATATAATGCAGTGTCATACTATGACATAACATGATAGGGTATAGTATGGCATAACATGTGATTACAAGTATAAATAAAATATAAACAAATAAATAAATAAATATATATATATATATATAATATATACATAGTATCAGTATGGTACAACATAATATGAAGCCCTGAGGGGCCCCTGCAGCTTTCAGGTGCGAGAACTCCTCGCACTGGCGCTGCGCTTTGGCTCTCGGTCCTGGGACCCAGGAAGGTCACGCAATAAAGAGGGGTGAGGGGTTTGTATAGGGTTTCAAGGGTTTGAGAGATTGGGTTTGCGGTTTAGGGTTTGTTGGGAGTTTGGGGCTCTCAGTTGCTCCAAGCTTGGACTCGGACCACTGTCTATTATTGCTCATTCCACAATTTTGAGGTGTCTTACCGCATGGTGGCATTGCAAGCGCTTCAGATACCTAAAACTCGCAGCAGTTCAATTTCCATGCCTGTCCGGTGGTCCGGGACTTTAACTCTGAAATCCCAGACCTCTGCACCGAAGCATTACTTCCAGTATGGCCCACTACATGCCCCTGAGAATTCCGACAGGTTCTCGTATATCACAGGATTTGCAAGCGAAAAGTGTTCAATTATGAGGGGTCGTCTCTATCGCTACTGTCACTTTGGGGGATCTTGTGCTGCTGCTCTGCTCTTGCTGTGGTTCTTGATCTTGCTCCTGCTCTTGCTCCTGTGCTGGCTCTTGTTGTTGCCCTTGCTCCTGCTCTGGCTGCTGCTCTTGCGCTTGCTTCTGCTTTTGCTCCTGCTCCTGCTCCTGCTCCTGCTGCTGCTCTTGCTCTATCTCCTTCTCTATCTCCTTCTCTTGCTCCTGCTTTTACTCGCGATCTTGCTCCTGAACCCCCTCATCGCGGTGATGTTTCAGGAGGTTTTGCGGAACGTTTCAGGGGTGTGTTTAACCTGGGGAGGGGCGGGAAGCGATTCATGGTTTAATAGAGTTACCTGTTCTAAGGCTGATACCCGGAAGTATGTTCGCCCGGCGTGGCACCATGCAGTAGGATCGCCGCACACCGGACCCCGGAAGGTTTGGGTGCCCTCCTGGCAGCGTGCGAGTGACTCGGCTGGGTTAAGAGAACCTTCCGACTTTGGGGTTAAGGGTTCAGGGTTTTACGGGTTAAGTTCTTATCGGAATCATCATCATGGCGTTAAACGGAGGAAGCTGTGACTTGAGGGTTTGGAGTTTGGGTTGGGGACCATCTTGCCAACAAATGAATGCGGCAAGCTGAAAGCATTATGAAAGCTTCGTGTATTGGGTTTTTAATTTCCGTAGAGCAGTAAAAGGGCAACATCCTTCATGCCAAAGTCCCTGTTGAAATCTGCGTCCTGGTTATAAGGAAAGCATATGAGTGGCGGCGAGCCTTGTCCGTCCTCACAGTACACCACTTGGAGCGCTTGGCAATGGATATCATCAGCTCCCCGACAGCATCATGTACTATAGGGGTCTAAATAGCTACCTATACTAGTTGGGGGGCGGGGGTTCCTTATCATAGTTCTGGTATAATATACCCCAAAGCCCTACTCTAGTTATTAAGGCCGCTATAGTACAGTCACCATAGTCCCGGTCACTGAAGACCCTCGGAGCCAGAGTTGCTGCGCGGTCCACCATCCGATTTTAGCACTTGGGTAGTTCTCTAAATTAGGGTCCCCTTAAGGGTGCCTTTTACAAGGGTGCCGTCGTATTTTGGGATCCAAAAAGGGGACCCTAATTTAGAGAACTACCCACTTGGATGATCTTGGATGCACGTCAGTAACCCGCAGCGCATGTCAGAAGTTCACAGCCCATGGGAATCAGCGTCCCTGAGAAGGCTGTGACTCGATGCTGATGGCTTGCAGACCCGGGTGGCACTGGCAGGCCCGCAGAACTCGCAATTTCTGTTACAGATGCTTCACCTCAACTTGCGAAGGTAACCTTGCTGCCAGCATCAGCCTCATGCTTTGACGGCACGTGTGTCTTCTTCTGCGTCTTCGTCTACCGGTGTAAGAGCAGCTGACAAATGCGTCTTTGAGCCTACTACAACGTTCATGACTATATAACACCAAGCCCGATGCATCCGAATCTCGTCTCGTCGTGTGCCGAGATGGTTTGGGATGACTCTGACAGGTTGCATTGGTTCTTCTGGGGTCCATGGCTTCGGATTCCATGCATCCCACGGCACTGAGCCCCTTGGATGCAATTTCAGGCGCATGGCTCAGCCAGAAAGCCTGGGGATGTGTGAGAATCGTTTTGTCAAGGGCGAAGCCGACTCATTCCAATCCCACTGTCGTAGCGTAGCTTTTGACCTTGAGCTGGGGAGGTTATGACGCAGCGCTTCCTGCGTTTGATGCTGGTGGTGGGACGTCTCTCAGCTGAAACTCAAGTTCAGGCGGTGCATTCAGTCGAGTCGGAGCGAGCTGCCAGACGGCTCGCAGAGGTGGGTTGCGAGTGCAGCATTCGTGGCCTCTTTCCGGTTCAAATTTCTCTATCTGCATTTGTGTGGATACAAGTGTGTATACGTGCATCTACATATGCTTTTAAACTATTTACAGTAGGTAGATAAAATAGGTTGAATAGGTATATCTGGTAGGCGTAGTTCTGGTACTGGCCTGGGCGTCGACACTACACTACACAAACATACACAAATACTCACACCTATATATACTAACAGACATGAGTAATTACGCACATACGTAAACCACTAGGCAGGCAGGCGGGCAGGCAGGCAGGCAGGCAGGCAGGTAGGCAGGTGGGCATAGGCATGCATTCACACATACACACGTGCACGCACACACGCACACACACACACATATGTATGCACACGCATAAACATACATACGTCATACATACATGCACGCACGCATACGTACATGCATGCATGCATACATAGACTTTTCGGTGCAGGGAGAGAGACCAAGAGAGAAAGAGAGAGAGAGAGAGAGATGGAGAGCGACAGAGATGGAGAGCGACCGAACATAGATGCACAAGCAGCCTGCTACATAGGCACGCTCGGTTAAGGCCCATCTTCACGAGGCATCCTGCCATCAGACCCTTGTCATCCCAGGTACATCCCATCGCTGCTTGCGGCATTGCCAGCCGTTGCTGACAGCCTTCACAGAAAAGTCGTTTGCGGCAGCATGCGGGGCAGAAATCTAGCCCCCCAGCCCATGTGACGATTCTGTGAAGCCATGCTCCATGTGACAGGCCCAGGGACTCCGGAGCAGGGCCTTTTCCGACCCTGCATCATACCCAAAGGAGCTCCGACAGCCAGTTCAAAACGAATCAGGACACAGCCAGACTTCTGCACCTGAATTAGTTGCCTCGATCTTCATGCTGCCTGCCAGCGTCCAGACTGCCAGCAGGCTCCGAGTTCAGGGTTTGCGCATGACGACGGCTTCACGGTTTCGGGTTTAGGGTTCATGACCAGATGAAAGATTTTCTGGAGCTTGTTTGAGGGATGTTGTGCTTCTTAATTATATTCAAGTCGCTACATCATCGGAATCGTCGACACAATGTGGCCGTGAAGTCGCAAACTCCTCGATCCGCAAATCCCCCTTCCCTGAAAGTGCAGGGAAGATGGGCTGCGTGGGGCGACTCGCACGATCCGGGGGCTGGCGAGTCCCGTTGCTGACCTTGGTACTTTTGGGGTCTTGATGCCAAGCTGTCGTGATGAGGTTTGAATCCACTAGGATCAGAAACTTCGAGTAGATTCAGGAAGACTTGGGCTTGAGTGCGCTGGCGTGCAGCGTATTTATGTAGGTTGAGTGCACACTGGAGGAAACGAACCTGTGCAGATCTTAACTTATCACTGTCCGAAGTTTGTCAGTCGTGCTTCGTTTTCATTGCTCATAAACGGAATCATGTTACTGCATTCATCTAGACATCTCATAGTCTATTATTGTCTTCTGGATTAGTACGAAGACGCCTGCCATTGCTCCTTTTGCTGCTGCTTCTCCTACGACGGCGGCAACGACCACGACCACGACGACCATGACGACCGCGACCAGTGCACTACTTACGGCACTGCTACCGTTTGTAATATTATGAAGCAATACCGCAATACCCTATGAGGATGATCACTACGACCACGATGACGACGACCACCACCACGACGACGACAACTACAATAACGACAATAACAACAGCAACAGCAGCAACAGCAATGACAACAACACCTACTACTGCTGCTACGACGACGGCGACGACGACCACTACTACCACCACTACTACTACTACTACTACTACTACTACTACTGCTAGTACCACTAGTACTACTAGTACCACTACTACCGTAAGAGAAAGAATATGAGTAGCAATTATGATGATCATGACGATCATACTCGCAATAATAGCACCAAAAATAACACGGCCCAGTATCAATAAGAAATGTATAATGGTGATGATAGCGATAGCCATGACGACACCAACAGCAGCCGCAACCACAACCGCAACCACGACAACAGCAACAACACTGACAGCAACAGCAACAGCAACAGCA